AGAGAGAGAGAGAGAGAGAGAGAGAGAGAGAGAGAGAGAGAGAGAGAGAGAGAGAGAGGTGAACTGGCTGGAAGGCTGAGTCAACCTTGAGCCCTGTCAGGATCGAACTGCTGGCATTGGACAGAATTTGTCTGCGATGTTGCATTCTAATACTGTGCCACCACAGCTCCTTATAGAAAGTCCACAGCAGCTTCTTCTGATCTACCATAAACCACTGCTTGATTTTCAAATAGTCAATTTTGGATGACAAAGAAGCTATTTAGGGATTGTTCTACATAACCGAAAGCCTGCGATTGCAACATTTCTGGGGTGAGGTAAGGCTTGATCTAAAATGGATATTTTAAAGAGTGTCTACTGAATAATGTGGGGTGGAGATGGGTTCTCACAATCTTGCTCTCCCACACATACTTTTTTTTAAAAAAAACCCCGATATACCATCAACGTACATCTTTTTTTACTAGTCCTATGGATATTTCTTTGTTTTCTTTTTCCTTGTTTATTTTATTGTTCTATTATTTCACTTTTGCCTTGTTTTAACTTCTTTTCGATTTCTCTTTCTTTCTTTTTTTTTTATGGTCGTGAACCGCCTAGAGTAGCCAGAGGGCAAGATAGGCAGCAAATACTGTAAATTTAATAACAACAATAACAGTAATAGGACTTCAGAATTCAGACAGACAGGTACCTGCCACATAACACCCCAGACTTATCAATAGTCGATAAGAAAGGGAAAAAAAAGTCTGGATAGTGGACGTGGCGGTACCTGGAGACAGCAGAAAAGAAAAGAAAAAACTGGAGAAGATAAACAAAATACAAAGACTTGTAAAAAGAACTAGAACAACTGTGGTAAAAGGTAGTACAAATAGTGATAGGCACCTGGGGTGCAATCCCAAACCATCTGGAGCATCCCTTGAACACCATTGTCATTGACAAATTTATCATGAGTCAATTGCAAAAGGCAGCTTGACGTGGATCAGTTTTATCCTGCAATGATATCTGTAACACCGTAAAACATCCACATCTTCCTATCCCAGGTCTTTGAGAAGGACTCAATAGATGGATAAAAATATTGAAGTCTGAACATCTGGCTGATGGTGCAATGAATCACAATATACAATATAAATATCCCGTGGTATAGAATATATGAAACACAAATGTCGTAGGAAGTGTTAGGATGATCCCTGTAATCCTAGTAGGTGACAGATATAGCTAATAGGTATAGGTGATATAATAGTACTGCTTGTGTAGGCATTAAGGCAATTTCTATTCTTCAATCCCTCACATAATATGAAAACAAGCTACAATCCTCTTTGCTTCTGATGACCTCAAAACACAGGAAAGAATAGGGGAACATCATCACCCAGTCAACGGTTTCCCCCAATTGATCAATGGGAAAGAGAAAAAAAAGCCATCCAATCCTTGTTCCACCACCTGAACCACCACAAAATGTCAGTGTCATGGTTCTGACAGATGAAACTCTTCAAAGAACTTTGAGGCATTGTTTACCTTGAAGAATCTTTATTCAAGTAGCTTAGCATCGGCACGTACATAGGCAAAGCCAAAATCTGAATTCCCCTACCCTGAGCACATGGTATCAAAGCACAATTCCTTCCTCTAATTAACAGTCATAAATCACATTCTCCAATTAGTTTGAAATGCAGGCTTTCCCCCCAGTTCTTCAACCCGCCATTTCTTATCATCTCGTATTTCAAAAAACCTTGGTTTTCACATTAGTTACAATACTGTTATGTCTAGCTAAACTCCCATGCACATTCCTCCTCCTCTCCCCTCCAGTATCCTCTAATTCTAACTCTAATTCTAAGAGTAAAACATAAGAAGGAAAATGGCTGCATCTCCATATGTTGTCAAAGCAAAAACATCTGATGTTCGCGGCGTTGACAATCAGAACGTTATTTACCCCAAACAAAAGGAAAACAAAATATGTACTATTTCCCCCCTCTTTAAGTCTCATTCTTAAGATATGCACCTTCACGCTTTCTACATCCTGATGCTGGGAGTGTCACTGGTGAAATCGACAGATCCTGAAATGTGCAGATGTGAAGAGAAAGTTAACATCTGCCCTGTGGTTGCTGGCATTAATGGATTACCAGGAACCTCAGGGAGCAATGGCTTACCAGGAAGAGATGGGACGGAAGGTCCTCCAGGGCCAAAAGGAGATTCAGGTACAATTCTTTAATTTTTTTTAGATCTATGTTGAGTATAAACATTAAGGCCAGAGTCACTGTTCAGTGGTAAATTATACATCATGTAAGAGGAAGTAAAGGCTATAAAAACTCTGGCGTTTCCATCAGAGAGAGTTTACATTCATTTTTTCTCCCATAGAGAAGAGCTTTTACATGAACCACCAATGGATGGTTGACATTATATAGGCTGAACAATTGAGGGAAGTAGATATGTGTAGTAGAATAGAATAGAATAGAATAGAATAGAATAGAATAGAATAGAATAGAATAGAATAGAATAGAATAGAAATATAGAATAGAATAGAATAGAATAGAATAGAATGAAATAGAATAGAATAGAATAGAATAGAATAGAATAGAATAGAATAGAATAGAATAGAATAGAATGCTGGAAGGGACCCTGGAGGTCCTCTAGTCCAGCCCCATGCTCAAGCAGGAGGACCTATACCATCTCAGACAGGTGATTGTCCAGTCTCTTTTTGAAAACCTCCAGTGATGGAGTGCCCACGATTTCTGGTGGCAAACTGTTCCACTGGTTGATTGCCCTCACTGTCAAGAAGTTTCTCCTTAATTCCAGGTTGCTTCTCTCTTTGATCAGCTTCCAACCATTGTTACTCGTAGACTAACAAAGAGAAGGACTAGGATGATACGATAGCAGTCTTGCAATATTTGAGGAACTGTCACAGAAAAGAGGGGGTTGACCTATTCTCCAAAACAAACGATTGCAGGACAAGAAGTAATGGATGGAAACTTATCAAGGAGAGATCCAATCTAGAACTAAGTAAAAAATTCCTGACAGTGAGAAACATTAATCAGTGGACCAGCTTGCCTACAAAGTCATGGGTGCTCCATCACTGGAGATTTCCAAAAAAAGAATCAACAGCCATTTGTCTGGAATGGCATAGGGTTTCTGCTTGAGCAGGGGGTTGGACTAGAAGACCTCCAAGGTCCCTTCCAACCTTATTACTCTATGTTCTGTTTGGCGATGGTTCCACGTTTCCTGCCCAATATGTTTAGTGCAACTCTTCCATTGCTTCTGATCTTGTGGCTCTTATTAACGATGATAATCAGTTTCTTCACTTACTGTATCTTTTTGTGCATTTTCTTTATTTAATTGGCAGGTTTAAAAGGAATACAGGGACCTCCAGGAAAAGCTGGACCTCCTGGCTCAAATGGAGATCAAGGACTGAAAGGGGATCAAGGGCTGCAAGGAGATCAAGGGCTGAAAGGAGAAAAAGGAGATAGTGCAGGTAAAGATAAGACATAGCACGGAGCTGAGATTTTACAAATGCTTTTTTTGGTTTTTATGTGGAATATTAAAAGGATATACAATGATTCTTTCCTCTCTTCATTTTACCTGGTGAAAACCATTCAGAGTTATCATCTGGCAGCAACTGAACCTTTACTCAAATAAAGATACCATAGCTCTTCTTATTATCCACTAGCTGTACCCGGCCACGCGTTGCTGTGGCTCAGTCTGGTTAAATGGAAAAGAAGTGTGTTGCTTTTATGTCCAACAGATGGCGCTGTTTTTCAAAAATAGCATGTTTTTACTTGTCACAGGTGTGACATCTATATAATATAGGTATATAAAAACACGTGCGTATTCACATGCAATGTTGTGTCAAAATTTCAAAGCAATCGGTGAAGAAGTTTTGGAGATTTAAGATTTTGAACAAACGAACATTTACATTTTTATTTATATAGATTATTTTGGCCTGCTTAAACTTCATGTATTCCCTCTATTTGTCTTTTATATGGATAGATTAATCAAATAAGCCTTTGGTAGATCAGTTGATTGGATGGATGGATCATCCTAGCACTCTATTAAAACCATAAAAAGGTCTCTTTTCTTCTCAAGAGTTGGGGGTCAGGTGAGATTGGAGCCCAGTAATTGTTGTTCTTGAAGAGTATTGCTTTAGGGCTTCTGGTTTTGTCTTTCTGGATGTTGGTTTTTTATTCTTTCATGCATGTTTTTCTTGTTGTTGTTTTGAGATATCCAGCTTTAGGTAAACAACTACAAGGACACACTCTAGTGTACGAATGGCACACAGGGTACAAATTTATGGAGCACTACATAACAAAATGTCAGGATTTCTGATATTTTCAGCAAGAGCCTGGTAGCATCATTTCAGATTGACACATTTATTTTTATTTTTAATTTTTAATTTTTTATTTTATTTTTCACTATACACCATACACCAAAAACTACATAAACATAAATCTTTTCTTCTAACAGAAGTGCTTTACATTTTAAATATTCTTTACATCTTATTTACATTTTATGTACATCAATAATTATGTCTTTTTCTTTCTCTGTCCTAGCCAATTATAACATTTATTCCAAATTTCATAAAATTCTGACGTCTCTTTGTCTTTTAATTCTAACGTAAGTTTGTTCATTTCTGCGCATTCCAAGATTTTATACATAATCATATCATTTGTGGGAATATTTTCACTCTTCCAACATTGCGCATATGCTATACGAGCTGCAGTCAATATGTGTATAATGATGTGTTGGAGTTGTTTTTCCATCTTTAAAATTATGCCCAAAAGAAATATTTCTGGTTTGAAATCCATTTGTATCTCAGTTATCTCCTGTATCCAATCTCTTATCCGTTCCCAATAATTTTTTACTTTGGGGCACAGCCACCACATGTGATAAAAACAAGGAAGAAATTAAAATGTAAAGGTTGTGAAGCCCAGATACAAAAATATGTAAAACCGGTTAGAGCGGCCACTTAAATGCCATCTGTAAATCATTTTATATTGATTCTCTCTATATGCAGTTGATAGCGTCAATTTGCAATTTCTGTTCCATAATCTTTCCCATTCCTCTAAATTTATATTTCGCCCCACATTTCGTCAGATTGACACATTTATTAAAGGGCATGAGCTCTGGCGAACTCATGAAGGCCTTTTGGTGAAATTGGTTCATCAGAAATGGGTTGACCAGATTCCTCCTGATTTTTGGCTCTTCTTCTGCCGCACATCTGGCTATCCAAATTGTACAACTATGTCAACATTCCATGGAAATCATAAGTTTTACATATAAAACTTTCAAAGGATCTTAGAAGCAAAGGCAAGGAGCCAGGCTTTCAGATGTGTTTTTTTTAAAAAAAAATCTATTTTGCTTCGGACAGCAGTGAAGAATAATTTTCTCTTTTCATATCCTTTAGAGTTTGAAGTTCTTAAAACCCAGATTCGTGATTTACAAGCAGAGCTGCAGGTTTTTAAGGAGACGACAAGTAAGAACCATGCAGGTAAGACAAAATCATCTCTTTGGGAATACTTGCAAAAACTTTCACGAATACTTCCAAGGGGTTGTTGGTGCTGAGCTTGGCTGTTTTCTTGCAGATGTTTCATTGCCAACATGGTAACATCATCGTGTAGTGATGACGTTACCTAGCTTGGTAATGAAACATCTGTGAGAAAACAACCACGCTCAGAGAGTACCAAGGTCGTCTCATTTCTACAAATAGTTTCCACTATAAAAAAAAAATACTTTCCTCTGGAGAAAGTATTAAATGTTGAAATAAGAGAAATTTTGGTTATTAAGTTAAAGATATTTGGAAATTATCAGAAAATAAGAATATTACATTGCACTATTAATTGGCTGATGTAAGATGGTGAGAATTCAAATAGACAAGACGTGTATCCTGAAGATTAGATCTTGTGATGAATTGTGAAAAAGGGAACTGGGATGAATTAAAAGTTGGAAATCATAAATACTAAACGTTAAATTTAAATATTAATGGTAAATTAAAAATTGGGAAAAACGAACCAGGACATTGATTGTCTAAAAAGATTGAATGTTAAAACAACTACGATATGTATCAACAAAAATTGTTGATAAATGTAAGAAAGTTATTTTTATCTAATCGATATAGTAAGAATTGTATGAATTTAAACGCGAGACAGTGAATACTAAGGGGAAAAGAGGAAATATTTAATGTAATCATTTGAGATCTGTACTAAAGATATTTGTACGTTGTTGAATTATTGACCAACGCAGCTGCCACGTTGCTTTTCAAATATTTAAATGTGAAAATAGAAAACCAATAAAAAAAAATTTCAAAAAAAAGAAAAACTTTATTCTGGTACTTCCTGATGTTCCTTCAGTTCATTTGATGTCGAGAGCAGGACGGCTCCTAAAGTGGATTTCTCGCCCTTGAAAAACAGCCGAGAAAGAATTTATCGTATCTAATTTGTTCTTTTTCCTTAGATTTTCTAGAGGCTGCTTTCCCAAACTTCACCATAATAGGAAACAAAAAAATTGCCTCTAATGGAGCCGAAGCCAATTATGAAACTGCCAAAGCCACCTGCTCCAAGTTTGGGGGTCAGCTCGCCTCTCCGAGAAACGGGGAGGAAAACGCCGCCTTAGCAAAACTGGCGTCAAAACTTGGAAAACATGCTTTTCTTGGGATGACTGACAAGGAGACAGAAGGTAGATTTAAGCACCTCAACGGGGACCAAATGCAATACTCACAGTGGGCAAAAGGCGAACCTAATGGAGAACAAGAGGATTGCATAGAGTTATACCTGGATGGCCAGTGGAATGATGTGGCCTGCAATATAATTCGATTAATCGTCTGTGAGTTTCAATCCAACCATCCTCCTCTAAACTTGTCGGGGTAGCAAAAAACAGATTTCCAAAATCCAGGGTGTTCGCCTATAACTTCAGAACACGAGCAAAACAACCAGTGAGGTAATCACAAGGCTTTACAAGATTGGCTCGGGCAACGGTCAAACAGATGAACAAGCATCGGAGCAATTTTGTGTAATTTAATTCAGCTTGGGGGCACTTTGGAGGCTGGGTGTGTTTATGAGAAATGTTTGTGACAATGCAGCTAATAAATAATGCATTGGCAATTGTCATGATTAGATAATCACATATTAAACTGTCCGCTTAATGTCGTATTTATTTGTGTTTTACTGGTTAAATATACTGTATCTAATGTCCGTAATGATATATTCCATCAAACCAATATCACTTAACTGCCTTTTAACACTTTAGCAACCATCTTAGCAGGACTGTTTATGGCTTTTAATGCAAAATCCTTTCCAGAGGATGACGGGGTTTGAAAATACCTTTTTCATTTTAAAAGAAGCCCAAATAGTACTATTTTTTTGGGGGGGGGAGGATGTTTGTACTCTGATCAATAGAGTGGTCAAACAAATTTCTAATAAATTTCTTAATGGGTAATCCTCCTGTCTGATTCACAGTTGGCAAAAAAAACCCCTTCTACTTATTTCCCTGTTGCTTTGCCCACTTTTTTTTAACCCTCCAAAATGTCCATCAAGATGGGGGGGGGAAATAAAATTGATCTCTAAGTTATTTTAATGACCAACTCGTGTTACAAAACGGAACCAAAGATAGCAGGAAGATGTGATCAACAATCAATCAGCCGTGGACTAAATAAAGTCTGACTTGATTATTGAAGCAATCAACTGTAAGCAGAAAGACACATAGCTTGGGCCTGGGATGAGCGCATGGCGCAGTGGTTAGAATGCAGTACTGCAGGCTACTAGTGCCGGCTGCCAGTAGTTTGGCAATTCGATTCTCACCAGCTCAAGGTTTCAATCCTTCCAAGGTCGGTAAAATGAGGCCCCAGATTGTTGGGGGCAATAGGCTGATCTGTAAAGCACTTAGAGAGGGCTGTAAAACCCTATTGAGTGGTATGTAAGTCTAAGTGCTATTGCTATTGCTATGGGATATGAGCAGATGATGGATTAGGAAAAAACAATGATTATACTAGCAAGGTTAGAAGAAGTAGAAGAGGAAGAAGACAAGGAAGAAGATGGAGAGAGGGAGGCTCAAGAATTTTTTGGGAATGCCCTAAAAGGTGCTATGAATTATTCCTAGAGAGTGGATGGGATGGTTGATATATGTCCAACAATTCCAAGTGGTTGGGTCCAATTCACCAACTTTCCTAACTAATTAACTAGGATCACTCCAGCAGGAACCATCTACCCCTATAGCATTCAAAGCAAACCAGCAAAGAGCTGTTAGATTGTCTTTTGATCTAAGACAGGGGTAGGCAACCTTGGCTCTTTTATGACTCGTGGACTTCAACTCCCAGAATTCCTGAGCCAGCATGGCTCTGCTTGGAAACCTCTCCCTTTCCCCTCAGCATGGCTGGCTCAGGAATTCTGGGAGTTGAAGTCCACGAGTCATAAAAGAGTCAAGGTTGCCTACCCCTGACCTAAGACAATGGAGCTTTCCTATAGAAGAAACTCTATGGTGCATATGATGTCCTTCAACATGTACGGAGGAAGGCCTCGTGCTTGTGAGATAATATGCTGTTGACATGGCCCAATACTGTCATTTAGTTTTAATACTATTTATTCTACATAATTTTTACATGTGCTATACTTCTATTTCCCATTTCATATCTACTCCACTTGCTTAATGTTGAATGTTATACGTCTATAATTTGTAGGTGCTTTTGACATGAATAAAGATGAGCACAGGGTTTAAAGTGCAATGGATCAAAAATTCCAATGCTAGACTGCTTTTTCCAAATTTCATATTCATTGTCTTCTCTAAACTCTCTTGTTGACGATTATTGTCCTTCTGTCTCACTGATGGATTTACTTTTGTGGCATAATAGATACGTTAAAGAGTAACCAAGGTGTGGAATCCATTGTATTCAGAAACCCAGCCCAACCAGAATGTGGGGTTTTTTTCAGAAAAGACAGAAGACAGCTGATCCATTGTGATTTTTTGATAAAAGAGGCTTTCTTCTCCCGGTATATATTTTTCCAAGAAAGAAAGAAAGAAAGAAAGAAAGAAAGAAAGAAAGAAAGAAAGAAAGAAAGAAAGAAAGAAAGAAAGAAAGAAAGAAAGAAAGAAAGAAAGAAAGAAAGAAAGAAAGAAAGAAAGTTTCTTTCTTTCTTTCTTTCTTTCTTTCTTTCTTTCTTTCTTTCTTTCTTTCTTTCTTTCTTTCTTTCTTTCTTTGAATTAAATTAAGATCAACTCTCCCTGCCTCTACAAAGTTCCAGGAAATGGAAAAAAGAAAATCATAGTGTTGAATTTTGGCAGAGAAATGAGCAATTTTCAGTGGCAATTTTTTTATTTTGACAGGGTCACAAAAGTTCTCCAAACCAAATGACTAACCAAGCCGGAACTAACAATTAAATCGGAATACAATTATCAAATCCATAACAAAGTCAGGTCACCAATGACTGATGATCATTTCCTCTTTGGAAAAATTACAGATATTGTCTCTAAGAGGAGTTGTTTGATCTTGATCGCAATGTCAGAGTGTTCCTGATTAATGTTTGCCATTTTGTTAAACCTTCCAATGAATAGCAGGGCTGAAAGAAATACAGGCTTGGTTTAAAGAGTATCAAATTGGGGGGAAAAACAAATAGGGAAGGACACTGCCCCCCCCAAAAGAGATCATTAATCGTGATAATCCAAACATATTATAGTTTTACCGAATTCTATTTAATGTTGATGTGCTTTAGATTAATAAAAATACAGAATGGATCGGTCCTGTTCTTTTTACGCAATCTCCCTTTCTGGTTCTTGAAATCTGAGATCCAGACCCTCTCATTGGCTACTTATGCATACAGTAATTCTTGAATCCTTTCCCATTCTTCCTTCAGTCTTTTCCCTTACTGATTCAGAAAGACAGTAAGCCTGGCCGTAAAATCCCCATCCTAAAAAGACCGCCTCCATCTTTGATCCTGATTAGTAGCAGTTGTGTAGATTTCACAAGTGATGACATCACTATCAAATTTCTAGGACATTATGCTGTTTCTTATCTTGCCCTCTGGTGCTTTGGAGAATAAGTTGACCCCTTCAGCTTTGTGGCAGCCCCTGAAATACTATAATACTGCTATTATGTCAACCCCTAGTCTTTTTTTTCTCTAGACTAGCCATGCCCAATTCCTGCAGCCGTTCTTCATCTGTTTTTGTCTCCAGGCCTTTAATCATCTTAATTGCTCTTCTCTGCACTTTTTTTTTCCCAAAGTCTCAACATCTTTTTTTTTTGTAATGTAGTGACCAAAACTGGATGCATTATTCCAGGTGTGGCTTTACTAAGGCTTTATAAAACGGTACTAATACTTCATGTGATTTTGATTCTATGCCTCTGTTTACACAACCGAGGATTGTATTAGCTTTTTTGGCTGCACACTTCTGACTCATATTTAAGTCATCATCCTCTAGGACTCCAAGATCCCTCTCATAGTTACTGTTTTTGAGCCAGATTTCTCCTAATCTGTACTTGTACCTTTGGTTTTTCTTGCCTAAGTGTAAAACTTTGCGTTTCTCCACATTAAAATTCATTTTGTTGGATAGGGCCCATTGTTCAAGTCTGTCAAGATCTTTTTGGATCCTGACCTTGTCTTCTGGGGTGTTGGCTATTCCCGCCAGCTTAGTGTCATCTGCAAATTTGATGAGTTCTCCTTCTACTCCTTCATCTAAGTCTTCCATATTGTCTTACAAGAGTCAACAAGGAAGCAATGGGAACATCATAGCCCTACGTGACACGGAGCTGTGGTGAAAAATGCGGTTTGAAATTTGTGGCTCAGAACATTTATTCCCAAAATGCGAATGTGAAATGTGAGACCGTCTTGCACAAGAAATTGTCTATAAAAGGAAACCTTAAAAGTCCCCCAAATTATTCTTCCCACGACGGCTGCGAAACACTGGAAATCACAAAGTAAGTGATCTGACTTTTGACTCAACCCTGAAAATTTTATTTCATGTAAAATTACTGGGGATTCTTTTTTTAAATCTGTCATTCAGTCAATCGAGAAACTTTAGAGATTTTTCTGCAAGCTGGGGAAAGGATTAAGAGTTTAATCTTAAATATTTGCGTTCGGCAACTATAAAGAGCTAGAATTAGGTAAAATGGCTATCCCAAAAATGCTTTTTCAGGAGACAACTGGACTTTCTTGTTTTTCTTTGAAGACATTTCGCTTCTCATGCAAGAAGCTTCTTCAGCTCTGAAGAAGCTTCTTGGATGAGAAGCAACACATCTTCAAAGAAAAACAAAGGAAGTCCAGTTATCTCATGAAAAAAGCATCTTTGGGATCACTACGCCCTGGATAAATGAGAATCTTCATAGAAGTAAAAATGGCTACTGTATTTTTCTATGCAGACAGCTGATTATTTTAGATATATGTAGAAGAAAGAGTTTATTTGACAGAGCAATCAAAATGCTTGTCTCTATTTATGGAAGACCTCAGAAAGGTAAGCTTCATTTCTATGTGCTATTTCAGCACATTCACTCCCTTTTGCAAGGCATGACTTAATTCCATGTATAGTTTTTACAATAATGAAGGCTGATTTTCTTTTTCCAGCAGCTATTGGTCACATATCACTATCTCTCTCTGTCTCTCTTTAACTATATCATATCTTTTCTCTCTCTCTCTCTCTCTCTCTCTCTCTCTCTCTCTCTCTCTCTCTCTCTCTGTTAGAGATAGATATAGAGATAGATTGATATAAAAGATATTATACATATTCTTTTCTCCCATATTTGGGCTGACAGGGTGCACCAAACTCAAGATAATATAGATAGATAGATAGATAGATAGATAGATAGATAGATAGATAGATAGATAGATAGATAGATAGATAGATAGATAGGGAGGTAGGGAGGTAGGGAGGTAGGGAGGTAGGG